CTGCAGTTAATTTTTTCCCCTCTCTTTTTCTTAAACTTAAAATAATACATGTGTGTTCTGGTGCATTTTAGGTGCGTTCCTGTGCATTGTTGATTAGTTTTACTACATTCCAGTACAGTTCAGTGCAGAAAAAAATACAGCATGTTGCCATTTGAACCCATGTAACCTACTATCAATGCATTTTTGATGCAGAAAGAAAACCGCACGGGAGGGACTGCATGTGGTGTGAACTGGCTCTTAGAGACCCCAAAACTAGGCATAGCGGGACACACCTCAAGAACCTATTTAATATGTATAAAATTAAACAGGCCTTTCAATACATAACTGATGGTAGATCTATTGGAGATTGTACATCTATATTACATAGTGTATGCTCACCTTAAATGATAAGTTCACCTTAAATTAAAAAAAAATAAATAAATGCAGTTAAAAAAAAAGTGCATTTACAATGTTTTTCTTAGGAGCCTCTAAATCATTGCACCCATGATCAGCAGATCATGAGTGCAATGTCAGGCTCCTGCAGACTATCTGGGTAGAGCCTGTCAGGGCTTGTGTGGTGGGAGAGGCAATTTTGAAGCAAACAAAAGCCCATTGACACTGCCCTTAGCGTTATTAAATCACATTGAGGGCACTTTTGTGTGTATTTTTTTTTCTCACTAGGATGGAGTGTGTGGGTCCTCGGACCTGTCCTTAAGTCTAGGGGGGATGCATGGCCATTAGGTTCCTTTCTCCCCTGTTCCTGGGGGGTCTCTCCTCGGGAGAGCTCCCTGACCTAGTACTTCGTGGTCGGCTTCAGCTAGCCACAAGGAAAGGGGTCCGCCAGGCCTTTTGGCTAGGTGGACCATGTTGGAAACCCTTTGTCCCTGTTAGGAGCCTTGCGCCCCGGGGGATCAGGGTAGAGGTCCTACTCCTTCGGGGGGGGGGGGGGAAGAAAAGCACACCATTAAGTGCACTTTTTTGTGTTTGTGTTTTTGCACTTGCAAGTTTTTTGTTTTGTTTTAGTTTTTTCACAGCTCTGTGAACGTGTAAAAAAAAAAATCAATTCAGTTTATATCACATAGGCCTTCGTATTACATATTTGTTAGTAAATATAAAAGGTGGTGGTTAACCCCTTTGTGCCGTTGCCTCCTGGCCCTTTAAGAGGTTTCAGAAGTCGGGAGGCGGGAAGTGTTTTAGGGTCATGTGACCGCTGTGATTTGCTGTCACGACGGTCACATGATCGGAAAAGGTCCCGATCGCAAGGGGAGATCGGGACCTTTCCGTGAGTCATGGACATATGTGCTGGGAGCATGCAGGGTGCGCACTGTCAGCACATATGTATTTTTAAAGGGTACGCAAATATGCGGCCACTCAGCGTCAAATCCCAGATGCTGAGGAGCCGCATATTTGTGTGCGCTTGGCATCTAGGGGTTAACATAGAAACTCTCTTTATATAGGGGGAAGGCATTTGGCAGGTCTTGGTCCTAAAGTTAGATTAGTCCTCAATAACGAAATGAACCTACTTTCAGTGGGGCATATAGATCAGACTATATATAGACTTTGGCGAGTAAAAATATTTACTTTAAAAGAGTGACAAATTTACTGTTAATGTTTGTGTCAACAAAGTCTCAAAGGTTTGCCTTTGTGCTGACATAAATGTTGCAAAACTTGTTTCTAGACTTGCATAGTTAGTTAGGAATTTAGGTTATTTACACGTTACTCACCATTCATTTTCAATACAGTGAAAGGTAACTTATGTTTGTTTGCTCTGAACAACAACTCTTTCTATTTACTTTCTATTATCTAGTTTTATAGGTTGCCCAATATGTTTGCAAATCATTACAGCAAAACTGTATATGAGCAATTATACAGGCCTCATTGCATTTTACAGTGTGTTGTGCAATGCCATCTTGTTGTGAAAATGTATACCATCCAGAAATATAAATAAAATGTATACCATCCAGAAATATGTAAATAAAATGTATATCATACAGAAATACACTATATTGCCAAAAGTATTGGGATGCCTACCTTTACATGCACATGGACTTTAATGGCATCCCAGTCTTAGTCCGTAGGATTTAATATAGAGTTGGCCCACCCTTTGCAGCTATAACAGTTGCAACTCTTCTGGGAAGGCTGTCCACAAGGTTTAGGAGTGGTCTATGGGAATGTTTGAGCATTCTTCTAGAAGAGCATTTGTGAAGTCAGGCACTGATGTTGGACAAGAAGGCCTGGATCACAGTCTCCGCTCTAATTAATCCCAAAGGTGTTCTATCGGGTTTAGGTCAGGACTGTGCAGGCCAGTCAAGTTCCTCCACCCCAAATTCGCTTATCCATGTCTTTATGGACCTTTCTTAATGCACTGGTGTGCAGTTATGTTGGCACAAGAAGGGGCCATCCCCAAAACTGTCCCCACAAAGTTGGGAGCATGAGATCGTCCAAAATGTCTTGGTATGCTGACGGTTTAGGAGTTCCCTTCACTGGATCTAAGGGGACAAGCCCAACCTCTGAGAATCAACCCCGCACCATAATCCCCCCTCCACCAAACTTTCCATTTGGCACAATGCAGTCAGACAGGTACCGTTCTCCTGGCAACCACCAAACATAGCCAAGTCCATCAGATTGCCAGACAGAGAAGTGTGATTCGTCACTCCAGAGAACACATCTCCACTGCTCTAGAGTCCAGTGGCGGCATGCTTTACACCACTGCATCCGACACTTTGCATTTCTCTTGGTGATGTAAGGCTTGGATGCATCTGCTTGGCCATGGAAACCAATTCCATGAAGCTCTACGCACTGTTGTTGTGCTAATCTGAAGGCCACATGAATTTTGGAGGTCTTTAGTTATTGACTCTGCAGACAGTTGGTGACTTCTGCGCGCACTGTGCACTTCAGCGTCTGCTGACCTCGCTCTGTCATTTTACGTGGCCTACCACTTTGTGGCTGAGTTGCTGTTGTTCTCAGTTGCTTCCACTTTGTTACATTACCACTAACAGTTGACTGTGGAATATTTAATTGCAAGGAAATTTCACAGATGGACATATTACACAGGTGGCAAACTATCATGGTACCATGCTTGAATTCACTGAGCTCCTGAGAGTGACCCATTCTTTTACAAATGTTTGTAGAAGTCTGCATGCCTAGGTGCTTGATTTTATATACCTGTGGTCACTGAGGTGACTGGAACACAATTATTTGGAGAGCGATCCCAATACTTTTGGCAATATAGTGTATAAATGTTGCTCACAACCTTTAGAAGAAGCCATAAGATAATTACCTGTTTTAAATTATCATACAAATATATGATTTAAATGTATTTTTTTCTTTTTTGGCAATACCATGGTGTGGACATATTTCTGCCAGTCACAGGCTGTATCACACCCAGGGCTTTTTTTTCTCAGAGAACAGGTGAAGGAACTCACCCTCCCCCGCCAACTCACCTCCTCCCAACCCCACTGTTCCTCGAGGAGAGAAGTAAGGCAGCACCAAATCTGTGCATTGCTCAAGGCACAAGAGGCACAGAGTACCACACCCAGGAGTGCATAACACACAGGGCTCAGGAGAGCAAACTGTGCAGTGCTGAGGTGTGTGCATCAAACAGGGCACTGAAAAAAATCAGCACAAGGAACAGTACTTACCTCCCCCAATATAACTTTATATTGCTCACCTCTCCACCCCATCTACATCTTTCCTCTTCTCCCCCCTTCTTGTGCAGCTCACCTCTTCTCCCCCCTCCTCCTTTCCACAGCTCATATTCCCCCCCCCCCTCTTATCCACAGCTCACCTCTTCTCCCCCCTCCTCTTGTCCACAACTCAATTTTTCTACCCCCATCTTGTCTGCAGCTCACCTCTTCTCCCCCATCCTCCTGTCTGCAGCTCACCTCTCCTCCCATCCCTCCAATCTGCAGCTCACACCCCCCCCCCCCCCCCCCCCCCTCCCATCTGTAGCTCATCTCTTTTTTCTCCCTTGTCCTCAGCTCACCTCTTCTTCATTCCTGTCCACAGCTCACCTCTCACCCCCTCCTGTCCGCAGGTCACCTCTTCTCCACCCCTCCTCCCCCTGTCCACAGCTCACATCTTCTCCCACCCCACCCCCATTCCGCAGCTTACCTCTTTTTTTTCCCCCTGTCCACAGCTCACCCCCTTCTCCCCCCCCCCTCCTCCTGTCCACAGCTCACCTTTTCTCCCCCCCCCCAACCCCCTTTCTGCAGCTCACTTCTTTTTTCCCCCCTGTCCACAGCTCACCCCTTCTCCCCCCCCCCCTCCTGTCCACAGCTCACCTTTTCTCCCCCCCCCCCCAACCCCCTTTCTGCAGCTCACTTCTTTTTTCCCCCTGTCCGCAGCTCACCTCTTCTTCACCCCCCAGCTCTCACTTTGTCCAACCTACACTCCCTTTCCAGGTCTCACCTCTTTTCACAACTTCACCCCCCTTCACAAATTCACCCCCACTGCGGTTCACAACTTGGTAGTCCCCAATGTGATAGCAGTAAAGGTAAGTGGGGAAAAAAGTTAATCAATAAAAAGCAATTATTTTAAAGACCCCACATATATGAATTAAACGCTTGAGTCAAGGATATCTACATATGAATATTATGATTATGCCACACATGTTAGGATGCCAAAGTTAGAGCAATAATTCTAGGATGAAAAAAAAGCTAATAATGCACAACATCAATGCTGATGTTTTCTATATTACCTAAATTGTGAAAAAAGGGAAAATGTGTTTCTTTGCACATGTGTCTTTGTACTACTGAAAATTATGGAATTTTACAGTTATTGCATTTTATGCTGCGACCATAGTTATACCCTTGTTACATAAAACAGTGATAATCAGGTACAACGTATAAAACAAGACCTTTTTTTAAGTGTTCTTGAACTAATTAATGAGATCTTTTACACTTTGTACATTCTGTTATAAAGACATATTAGACATTTTTTATTATTTTGAGAAAATAACTTTTCCAAGAGAATAATGACCGAGAAATATATCTGTATGTTTCCACAAGCAGTCGTCAAGAATGAAGATATCAGTCCTTGGAGCTTCTGGCCAGACAGGTTTATACTTAGTGTCTCAAGCACTGGAACAGGGACATGAAGTAAAAGCTCTTGTGAGAGATGTCAATAAAATAACAATCCAGCATGAAAATCTGAAGGTTTGTATTATAACCATAATAATCATCTTTTTTTCTTTTGGCTGTTCTACTTTTTAATTGCATTGAATACGTGTTTGGCTATAGTTTACTATACTGACTATACAACTGCAAGCAGGTAAAAAAAAAAAAAATAACATTGATTAGTATTTACTTGAAATAATTACATTCAATGCAATTAGCATTAAGGCATGATTCACACTGGCCATTAGGTTCTCCGCTGCCCCATGCACTCTGTGTGAACAGCTGCAATCAGAGCCATCATAGTTGGATTTGTACCCAAATCAATGGCCAGACCCATGCATGTAACCTTACATATAAATGCAAATACAGTCTTTGACTGGTCCTGGCCACCGGGCAATCTGCATCCAGGGCCAGTGGTTCTGACCACACACAACCTGAATGCAAGTAATTATCCTAATGAATCCAAATCAATGCAGCTAATCAAAATACAGAGGGCTGTTGCATCCAGATGCATAGTTTAGTTGCATCCAGATGCATAGTTTAGTTGCATCTGAATGCAGTGAGATAATTGCCAGTGAATAAATCCTAATTCAGCTTAAAGCTGGCCATACAGTGGTCAATTTCTGAAAGAATCTTCTTTTGAAAATCTTTTCTAAAAATTTTCGTTCGAATTTCACCCATTAGTGGGCCACAGAAATGGCTGATTTTCGTGTGACCATCGAATATGAGTGATTGGGTATGTTGGAAATTTAAAAAAAAAATGAACTAATTTCTAATCAATGATGGGAGAATCGAGTGAGAAATATAACTGAAAAAGAAATGAGCATGAGCTGTGACCTGGAAAGAAAAGAAAATTCTTGGCCACGAAAATTCTTTTCTGTACCAACATTATTATTATTATACAGGATTTATATAGCGCCAACAGTTTGCGCAGCGCTTTACAAAATGAAGGTAGACATTACAGTTACAATACAATTTGGTACAAGAGGAAACAGAAGGCCCTGCTCGTTAAAGCTTACAATCTAGGAGGAAGGGTTGAGTGATACAAAAGGTAATAGTTGTGGGGGGTGAGCTGATAGAGGAAATAAATGGCCGTTTACTAGGTAGAAGCAGGATGGGTTTCTTTAAAGAGAGGTTTTCAGGGATCGTCTAAAGGTGGATAGATTAGGAGACAGCCGGACGGATTGGGGTAGGGAGTTCCATAGGATGGGAGAAGCTCAGGAGAGTCCTGGAGGCGAGCATGGGAGGAGGTAACAGGGGAACTAGAGAGCAGAAGGTCTTACATGAGGTGAAATTGAAGGCTTGGTTGGTTGAAATCAATGGTGGCAATCGGGTTACAAAATGCATGAAATTTCCAATTTTCTGAAGAAAATTCATTTGGAATTTGACCCATGTATGGCTTGTATAAGCCTTTGTAACCCTCCACGAGCTGGAGGGGCCAATCAGGTGTGCAGGTGCTGATGGATGAGTCTGTAAGTCTGCTGCTGCTCATTAACAAAGAAGGAGTGACCTATGTAAAAACTGCAGAAGAGAAAAGTTAGGTAACCAACCTATGCAAATCTTAGGACTGGATGGAGAGAAACAGAAATCCATTGACAGGTAAAACCACTACTATGTATGCAATAGTGCCCACCCAACACAACAAGGAGTTTCACTCCTGGCACAGCTGCAAAGAGTGTGTACACCATCGGCTGCTGCCTTTGCAGCTGAAGGGGGAGCAGTTGAGGGGTAGTAAAAAAGTGGTTTAGCCTTGAGGTACAAAACTGGCTGGAGGTCACCTTTTTAAAGTATACATAAACCCAAAACACTAAAATCTCATACAAGCATAATTTTGAGAAATATTTTTCTTTTTTTTTAATCTCCCATGTTAAGTGGTTGTTGGAATACTATGCGATTTTTGGTAAGGAAGATGCTAGTAGCTGGAAGTCATGAGGGGCTGGTTACCTAATAAATAATAAGAAAGCGAATAAGAATAAATAGGATAATGAGGAAGATAGCAGGTAATTCTGATATTGTAGATTTTTACAGGCTGTTCAAATACATTAGAGCAGGGGTGTCAAACCGGTGGCCCTCCAGCTATTGCCAAACTACAAGTCCCATCATGCCTCTGCCTTTGGAAGTCATGATTGTAACTGTCAATCTTGCAATGCCTCATGAGAATTGTAGTTTGGTAACAGCTGGAGGGCATCCAGTTTGACACCTGTGCATTAGAGGTAGGGGAAACCCAAATTGGGTGGGAAGATAATTTCTAGACGTTAGAAGCTGGAGGAAATCAAAGGTCAATGGAGGATCTGAATGGGAGCGTGGGGAGTATCTGTGTATAAAACCAGTTAATTATGGGCCATGAGGGTTCTAAAGAGATTTAAAGCAAGCATAGTAACCGATCAAAACACAGAAAATGCTGTACAATAGACCCTCAAAAACTATGTGCAGTCCAAAACCCACAAGTCCAATCTTTAAATCAACTTCTTCTTGTGTTTCAAAAAATTCCTCCGTTAGTGTACCTCAAACAGAAAAAAATATTCACATAGTGCATTATCCTTTTATATATATCCAAATAATAGTGACTTTATTCAAGTGAATACCCAATCACATTAAATCAGTGAAAAAGTGAACAAAATGAAAAAAACTGTGAAGCCAAAAAGTGAAAAGCCACGTGAATGTGAATCACTCTTCAGTGCTTTCATTCAACCAACACTGTGACACTTCTAGATAAGGAATGCATACCCTTACCAATATTCAGAAAAAAAGGAAGCTTTTTAATATATTTTTCCCAAAGATATATTAGCATAGTAACCCAAAGCATAGTAACCGGAATTTTATTCACGGAAGCTGGTGGAGAAGGCACCATTCGCATGGGCATTTTGCCAGTTGGCAAATCCCAGCAAGATAAATCAGTAGAGTCCTGTCACTGGGATTCACAGCATGGCAAAACACCTATGTGATTAGGGTCTAATAGAGAAAATCAGAATATGAAGATGATAAGAAGTTTTGCAGAAGCATACATCATAGATTGTTAAACATAAGAATGTAGTCCAGCTTTTCTCAACCTGGGTTCCTCCAGACGTTAATTAGGTTCTTTGGGTAAACAGCTATTTCCACCTCTCAGATAAGTTCCCACAGTAATCAGTGATTTGTTTAGCTGTCTGTAAGGCTGGCCATACATTATCCAACTTTCTTGAGAATTTTGCTTTAGATTTACCAAAAAGCATATAATAGGTCAAACCTAAACAACACTTTCAATTGTATCCAATTAGGCAGGCCCTTGCACTACATAGTTGAAGGTAAATCTAAAGAAAATTGGACAGAAAATTGTATAGTGTATGGCCAGCCTTAGAGGGAGATCCTTCTAACTGACTGCAAATGTAAGATGGCAATATTTAGCAGGGGTTTCCAAAAGACAAGAAAGTTATTTCAAGGGTTCCTGTATATTAAAAAGGTTGGGAGAGGCTGGTCTAGTGGAATCCTGTTGCAATAGTTGAGATAACTATAAAGGTAATGGTTTTGATTTTGCAGGTACCCAAAAAAGGTGCTGATGTTGTGCAAGTGGGTGGTAGCAGAACCTAAAGTATATGTACTGTAAACCCAATATTTAATTAATTCCTGATATATACCTGCTGTACTATGTACTTGTATGAAAAAGTATCCTGTTCTCTTTGTATTGCTTCCTTTGTGTAAACTCCCTGGTGTTTCTGCCAGTCCCTCTGCTTTCCTATTAAAAGCTGACCACACTAGGCAGAAGAGCACTGCTCTCCTCCAATGACTCATCATGACCCCCCCCCCCGCACAGCCATTAATTGGGAAGATCAGTATGCTGCTGTTTCTTCTCCTGCAGCTCTCTAAGCTCCTTATGTAGCTGATGGCAGAGATTATGTGATCACTTATAAAAAAGTAAAGAAAATGTATCTAATGTTTTATACATATACACAAATTAATTTGTTGTTTTACAAGGTGAGGGTTTACATATACTTTAAAGTGTAAGCTCACCCATATAGAAAATCTGTAAGGTGACCTTACACTGGACCCCTCCCTATCCCTCTCGGTCCTGTTGTACCAGGGTCCCGTGACCCCCACGCTGTCCAGCACCAGGACACCACTAGCTTTTTTTCCTTGCTTTGCTGACAGAACAGGCTAGACAGGCTCTGATTGGTCAGTGCTGTTCATATGACTGTGCTGACCAATCAGAATGCCCCTTGTCAGCACATGCTGAGAGGTATGGATAAAAGATTAAGTCGGGGGGATTTCAAATCCCCAGAATGGTGAAGCTGCGTCCTGACAGTGGGGGATTGCAGGACCAGTGTAAGGTCACCTTACTGATTTTCTGTAAAGGTAAACTTACACTTTAACGGAGTAGGTATGATAGTATTCTTTACAGTTCTGGGTGTCAATAGCATACAAGTGATAAAGAAGGCTAAAAAAAAGAAAGTTTTTTTTTGTAATGTACTGTATAGTGTAGATAGGGAAGTGTGCTGAACCAGTGACTAAATATATTCTGATGGTAAAGGGTGAGGAGAGAAATAGAAAATGTAGAAAAGAACTCTGAAGGACTGGTCCAATCTTGAAATAGCAAAGTACCAAATTACAAGAGAATGCAGTTTGTTGCAACAGACCTCCACTGGCAGCTATACTAGCACAATAGTGGCCCATGTATGACAGCCACTGGGATTATGGAAGAGCAGTAATCATTCAGCGGCATGCACCCAAAGAGGGTGTACGGGATGCCACAGGTATGGTCGTGGGCCACGTCAGACACTGTGGCCCGTGGCCCATGGGTTGAGCACGCCTGGGTTAGTGTTACCATAAACAGATACATAAGGTTTATATTTCTTTAACAACAAAACACTAATAGGAAAAAAAGTGTTTAACATATGTAGCATTCACGTTGCTAAATCGTGCACTTCAAATCTAACGCATACTTTGTTTTGCAGGTGGTGGAAGCCAATATTTTTTCACAGGAATCCTTAGCGGAACATTTCCAAGGCCAGGATGCAGTAATGTCATGTCTAGGATTCCCTTATAAAATGTTCTCATCTATCAGCGAATACACTGACTCCATGAAAGCCATTGTGGGAGCAATGCGACAGACTGAAGTGAACAGAATAGTAGTGATGACCTCATGGTATACTGACAGTAAGTAAATGTAACAAATATTTGATGAGTGCAATAAAATGACAGAACCTTGTAGTTTGAACACTTTACACTCCTCTTAGGGCTCATTCACACAGGAACCTAGATGCTTACACCTATAGTTGTGTACGCACCAAAATGCAGCACTATCATTGGGACCATACTCAACTGTGTTTGTGACCGTAATATGCAGATTTTACACATGTAAATGCATGTAAATACCTGCATACATACACGCATAAAGTAATTAGAAGAATTATACGCATCTAAATACAAGTACTTTAGGTCCATGTTGTTCGTAGGATCTTCTATTGGATTTGCCAACAAGAACCTGCATTCCATGCAGAAAATAGAAATACGGCCATGTGAATGAAGCTTTACCTGCAGGACGCTGCTATTTGCTACTGCTGGGAGACAGTGAGCGAGTATGTACAGGTGACAGGGCACAAATGTCTTGAAGTCAGAAAACCCCTGACTTTTGAGCAAAAAAGCCAGATGTAGAGCACTTAACCTGTAGGGTCCATGTACATAAATGGCCGGACGGGAGCAGTGCAGGAGCAGGTTGCCGTTCATAAACGGCCTCCACATTCACTGCCTTTGCGTGCTCTTTGGGAGTGTGTGGCACTGCGATCCGATGCCCGCTGTGTCTGGAACACCGATCGCTGTACGGGACCTCTGTGTGAGGTCCCGATCATGTGATCACTGATTGGCTAATCAGTGATCACATGAATAGTAGTAAGCAAGATGTGACTTCCTGACATCATTGCTTACTACGTGTGAAATCTATGAATGATCACAGAGGTCACATGGTACAAGGCTATTCTCAACATGGTACCATGGTACCTCACATGGTACAAATCACAGCTCTCACAGTATTTCTCAATGGCTGCAAGAATGCAGCCAGAGAGAAGGAGAAATTATTGCTTTTACAGCCTTTATGAGTGTAAAAGCAATCAGTGTAAAAAAAAAAAAAAAAAAATCTTCATCACCCCCCACAAGTAGTACAGTGTCACTGTACTGCTAGGGTGACAGTATGTTAAAATAACATAAAACAAAAATAATAATATAAAAAATAAAATTAAAATGTAAAAAAAAATTTAGAAAAATTGAAATTTTTGGTTATAAACTAATTTGGGTTATTTTTTTTTTTTTTTACTAAAAACATAACTGAATAAATTTTGGCCAAGATTTATGAAGAAAGATTATTTATTTGCAAAATGTTATTAAACACTTTTTTTTTCAAAATTTTTAGACTTTTCATTTATATAGCAGAAAAATTTAAAATCCCAGTGGTGAATAAATATCACCAAAATAAAGTTTTATCTGTCTCATAAAAATGCTAAAAAATGCATATGGGTACAGTGTTGCATGACCACGCAATTGTCATTCAAAGTGTGATAGCACTGAAAGCTGAAAATTGGCCTGGACAGGAAGTGGGTGAAAATGTCCGGACTTGTAGTGGTTAAGCATAGAGCACAAAGACTTGTGGTGGAAGAGCTATATTTTGTCTGCACAGGATGCATAGGTCTTCCATGCATCTGCATGCAGGCAGCCGTATCTTGTCAATTAGGATGCAGCACCTGCATGGACACAGTCACTGCTCCCAATTTGACATTCATGTGGTGTGGATGTGGGTGTGGATGTGTGTCTCAGAACATAGACAGTGTGAGTTTGGAAACACACCTGTCAAATTGGGAGCAGCGGCTGTGTCTGTGCAGCTGCTGCATCCCAGTTGAGATGAATGAGACTGCATACACGCAGATGCTCGGAACACCTCTGCATCCTGTGCAGGCAAAATATGGGCCTTACGCAGGTATATGCTTAAGTACAGTAAAGAAACGGCAAACCCAGATACTCCTGCGCTTAGGGATGGACTCTGTATGGATAGGACCACATCATGAATTTCTTGGGATATGCACGCCTTGCTGCCCTCAAATGACTGGGGATGTCCAAATGTACTGAGTAGAGAAAAACAAACAGAGGGCGCACCAGCGGTAGTGCATTACCTTAAAAAATGTATTTAACAAATGATAAAAGTAGGTATTGTACTCACAAAAATGACAATATAGTCAAAGGCACATCTTGAAAGAACAGCTCTGTCCAATCCGCACTACGTGTCTATCCGTAATGGGAACTCTAGACCTCCAACAGGCTAACACGTTTCGAGGACTTGCCTCTTCCTCAGAGCCCTGATGTGCCTTTGACTGTATTGTCATTTTGTGAGTACAATACCTACTTTTATCATTTCTTAAATACATTTTTAAAGGTAATGCACTAGGCCTCTGCGCCCTCTGTTTGTTTTTCTCTACTCAATACGCTTAAGTACGCCCATGTGAACGAGGCCTAAAGTTACAAAAAAGTAGTAAGTAAGTAAGAGTAATAATGATTTAAGACTGCATAATTCGATTTTTGCAGAAGCTCAATAGTGACTCGATCCCTTTCCATTCACAATCTGTAAATTATTATTTCCCAGCACGATTCCCAGTGGTTTAAAAGAAATGTAAAAATGAGCAACATTTTAACAAGTAGGCAAATTTTGGTTTTATAATCCAAAAACCAATTAAACCCTTGAAAGGGTTAAAGGAAAACAATAATTTTTTTGTGCAATTTTTTAATTAAATTATATATACTGTATGTTTACTGTTTTTCTTGCCAAAGAAATTGAAACATCTTGTGATACACACCACTCTTTTCAATTACTCACCTCCCTGTGCACTAGACAGAGGTGATGATGATTCACTGTTCAATGAAGAGGCTGAAGCTCAACTGCTGAACCTGGAAGTTGAATTGCTTAGTTATCTACTTGTATCATGTGTCTGCTGTGCAGTGTGGGAAATGTGTGCACATCACAGGACTGTACATAAGGCTGTACAGGATTACAATTCCTTGGCAGGTGCATGGAGTTTAGCTTTAAGGCTAGGTTCACATATGTCCGGGTGGTGCCGCTGCGGATCAGTACAAAAATCCATGCAGCCGCACCACCCACACAGAGAAAATGCGGACCCACGGGCGGGTGCCATTAGTTCTAATGGCATGCTGCCCGCACTGGAAACCGCAACCATACTGGGAACCAAGGTTCCCGTGCGGGCTGCGTTTTCAGAAGAAGTGCACAGACTCCTTCCCTGCATGTCACGGGGAACGGGAGTCAATTCAAATTAATGGGCTGTCGTGCCCACGCAAAACACGGCCCGCACTGCCACATATATGTGAACCAGGGGTAATGGATGTGCTGGCTGTAGCTTTAGAAAAGTTGTTAGTAAGCTTCAAGCTGTTTTTAGCTGACAGCGGGATAAAGTCTGCTGTTAGCTGACATCACAGAGCTAGTCCGGGCTGGGGAAAGATCGTGACCATATCGGTGGGATCCATCCAAGAGCTTGGACAAGCTCCTTAGCCAGCCACTCTCACCCTCTCCAATGAGCGCTGGGTGGGGGGGGTGGGGGGGGGCAGAGCAGACAGCAGTGACTGACACTGCTCAGAGCTGTGGGAAGAACTGAGCGATCAGCAGTGTCTGATCGCTCAGTTCTCAGCCTTAGAGTTGGCAGGGAACAGATGTAACAATGGATCAATGCTGCATCCATCTATGTAAGTAGCATTAAAAAAAAAAAAAAAACAATCCCATACTTTTAACATCCCCACTAGCCAATCAGAGCAGTGTTATTGACTGCTGAGGCACTTTTGCATTGAGACTTTTGTACATTTGAACAAGCCTATTAGTCTTGCATGTTACCTGTGTTATCAAAATGTTTAGATAGTTCACAACACTTTAGAATTGTGGTTTGCACAAATGCCACACATGTAATCACTATGTTTTTAATAAATTTTATGTAATGATTTTTCATTTAATGATTTTAAATGTAATCATCACAACCAAAATAAATTGTTTTCTTCCCTTTAATAGCTAGCACTGCGCAGAATTCTTCATTTTTTGTACGCAATTTTCTCATACCTCTCATAAAAAGTGTGCTCACAAACATGTTTGAGATGGAACAGTACCTTGAAAAAGAATGTCCTGATCTTAACTGGACTGTTGTAAGACCACCGGGACTTCAAAATGTTCCAGTAACAGGTGAGCAAAATATAATTTTTTTGGAAATATAAAGTGAAAAGCAGAAAAAAGGAGTAACAACCTTTGTGCATTAAAGGATAAGTTCACCTTTTTCTTAAAATGTTTAAATGCACTAATAGTGCCTTAAACATGCATTTATTCTTTTTCAAGGTTTATCAATGTGACGATCACTCACCGAAGGACACACATGAGATCACACAGCTTCTATTGAAAGAGAGCTCATGAGACAATTGTCCCTGTCCCTATTTGGGCGATGATGTGACCGGCCAGGGGACTAAAGTACAATGACACCGCTTTCCTTGTGCCAAGTAAGAACTCCTGCAACTGACAGTTCTTATAAAGCAGGGGGCGTGGCTTGACAATTGATATCATTGCCTAGATAAGGACATGGAAAGCCAATGAAGTAATTTGCAAGGCCACGCCTCCTGCTTTATAAGAACTGTCAGTCGCAGCAGTTTATTTATTTATTTATTACAGGTACTCATATAGCGCCATCAATTTACACAGCACTTTACGTGTGTACATTCACATCAGTCCCTTACCCTCGTGAAGCGTGCAATCTAAGCTACCTAACTCACATTCATACATACTAGGGCTATTTTAGACAGGAACCAATTAACTTATCAGTATGTCTTTGGAGTGCCGAAGGAATCCGGAGGTAACCCACCAGGCACAGGGAGAACATGCAAACTCCAGACATCCAGGCAGGTGGTTCCGTGGTTGGGATTTGAACCAATGACCCTAGTACTGCCAGCTGGAAGTGCTAACCATTTAGCCAATGAGCTGTACAGAGTCCTTACTTGGCACAAGGGAAGTGGTGTGATCGTATGTGTGTTGCTGTTCATCTGCACTTTTTTTTGCTCTTGGCAGTGATGCCACTTTAGGGAGTTGCAAGGGAGGGAGGAATGAAGTGAGGGGAGGAGGCCAGCTATGAGGCAGAGAAGGCATACAGAGCTGTGATCGTGCCCAGGAAGGAGGAAAAAACGTGCTCTGTAGACTCATCTGTCGAGATGGCAGATGGGAAGTGTAGTTTCTACTTAGGACCGGCAGCAGAGAGAAATGATGCAGCTGTGTGAGGCATGGGGATGCACGGGCATGCTAATGTTAGTAGAAGCAAATATGACACATAGGGTGTACCCTAGGATTTTGGTAAGAGGTTGAATACAAGTGGATTTCTGGGGTAATATTTGCTTCCATGATGCATATTACACCCTAAATATGGGTGTAACATGGAGCAAAAAGTGAACTTATTCTTTAAAAAAAGTAAAATTTAATAAGACACAATACTGCTGAACTCACAATTTCAGAAGAAGCAAAAGTCCATGTAGAGCCTGATGAGTTGACCGCTGAGGGCATCAGACAGCCCTCAATAGCCAGCAGTACAGTAGTGTGTAAGTGAAAGGAACTGAAGTGAGTGGTGGAAAGCAACAGCATCCTCACCTGCTCATAATCACTTCACCTCACATCAGATAGCTTGGGTTATCATGGCAATACATTTTAAGGGCTCCTTTCCCTAGGAATCCTGGAGAATATAAGGATTTAAGTGTAGTCCAGTGATATTGGGCATTCCCACATTGACATATGTAACACTAATTCAGATTTGTATGTTGTACAATACAAACATAAATATGCTTGGTGGTGGTTACTATAAGTAAAGTGGCAAAAATGTGAATGTAAACAACCTAAAAAAGGAACATCATGTTAATACACATAGCAATAATATTGTACAGTAAAAAGGATATAAAAATAAAACTTTTGGAATCCGCTATTCACGAGAGGGAAGCCTTGCAATGTAAATAAAATATATATGGACATTAATAAAAAGGCAAATGCAGAGCATATGAAACATACATCTAAGAGGCATACTTGAAATGTTCGCTTGGGGTGAATAAAGAAAGAAAACAGAATGCAGAAGCACTACAAAAAATAAATGAGAGTAAAAAAAGCACTATAAAAATGGAAATAAGAATCAACTGTAATAAAACTATGTAGTAGTTTTATTACAGTTGATTCTTATTTCCATTTTTATAGGTTATGGCAAGCATGAAATACTTAGAATATATAAAGGAGAGAAACATTCGCAGATCAATGTAGGCAAATATATGGAATTAAAGGTAAACATGAATAAGAGGATAACAAGAAGTGGCTGCTAGGGGTAATCAGGGTGTCAGCATTAGAATGTAGCTTTATTAAGGGTGAGGATTAATGCCATAAGCAAAATAAATAGCCACATAGTATATCTAATGGTGGATACCAAACATACAATGCATTCATAAGGTATTCAGATCCTCTTCACTTTTTCAACTTTATTATGTTGCAGCCTGATACTACAGTTGTTTAAATCAATTTTGTTTTCTCATTAAAGGATATGTTCACCTTTTGGACAAAAATAATAAATACACATTTTTGCAGGTAAAACAATGTGCATTTATTATTTTTGTCCAAAGGAGCCTGGAAAGCATAGCACCGGCGATCAGTAGATCCCTGATGCCATGCAGGTCTCCTGCAGACCTGTCAGAATATCTGCTTGCCTTACGTGATGTATGAGCAAGCAGATATACTGACACAGAGTCGTGGTAGTTCATTGAAAGCTACAAGCCGACAGCCACTAAGGTGACGCGGCCGTGTGGGCAAAGCCCCGCATAACTGTACTGTTTTCAAATCTGACAGATAGTGTGGGGAGAGGTTTCCCCATACTATCTGTCAGAGGGAGGGGGGCGGTGGGCACGGCTGCGGCTATGGGAACATGTTACATGTTCCACCTTAAAAATATGTGGAACATGTAACATGTTCCAAAGGTAAACCTATCCTTTAATCTAGACTTCATAGCCCTTATTGACAAAGTAAAAACAGAACAGAAATATTTACAAATGTATGAAAAAGGAAAAAAAAAAAAACTGAAATATCACATTGACATAAGTATTCAGACCCTGTGCAACAACACTGGAAATTTAAATTAGGTGCCACCCATTTTTTTGATTGTTGCTGAGATGTTCCTACATCTTGATTGGAGTCCATCTGTGGTAAATTACATACACTATATTGCCAAAAGTATTGGGATACCCCTCCAAATCATTGGATTCAGGTGTTCCAATTACCTCCATGGCCACAGGTATATAAAATCAAGCACCTAGGCATGCAGACTGCTTCTACAAACATTTGTGAAAGAATGGATCGCTCTCAGGAGCTCAGTGAATTCAAGCGTGGTACCGTGATAGGTTGCCACCTGTACAATAAGTCCACCCATGAAATTTCCTTGCTACTAAATATTCCACGGTCAACTGTTAGTGGTGTTTTAACAAGGTGGAAGCAACTGGGAACAACAGCAACTGAACCACGAAGTGGTAGGCCAAGTAAAATGACAGAGCGGGGTCACTGCATGCTTAAGCGCACAGTGCGCAGAAGTTGCCAACTGTCTGCAGAGTCAATAACTAAAGACCTCCAAACTTCAGGTGGCCTTCAGATTAGTACAACACTGCGTAGAGAGCTTCATGGAATGGGTTTGTGGACGTGTCTGGGTTTGGCAGTTGCCATGGAGAATGGTACTTGCCTGACTGCATTGTGCCATGTGTAAAGTTTGGTGGAGGGGGGATTATGGTGTGTGGTTGTTTTTCAGGGGTTGGGCTTTGCCCCTTAGTTCCAGTGAAGGGAACTCTTAAGGTGTCAGCATACCAAGACATTTTGGACAATTTCATGCTCCCAACTTTGTGGGAACAGTTTGGGGATGGCCCCTTCCTGTTCCAACATGACTGCTCATCAGTGCACAAGCAAGGTCCATAAAGACAGGTATGAGCGAGTTTGGAGTGGCAGAACTTGATTGGCCTGCACAGAGTCCTGACCTCAACTCGATAGAACACCTTTGGGATGAATTAGAGCGGAGACTGCAAGCCAGGCCTTCTCATCCAACATCAATGCCTGACCTCACAAATGCACTTCTAGAAGAATGGTCAAACATTCCCATAGACACACTCCTAAACCTTACGGACAGCTTTCCTAAAGAGTTGAAGCTGGTATAGTGGCAAAGGGTGGGCCAACTCAATATTGAACCCTATGGACTAATACTGGGATGCCATTAAAGTTCACGTGCGTGTAAAGGCAGGTTTCTCAATACTTTTGGCAATATAGTGTATATTGATTGGACATGATTTGGAAAGGAACATTCCTCTCTATAAAAGGCACCACAGCTGACAATGCATACTGTGTCAGAGTAAAAGCCATGAGGTCAAAGGAACTGCCTGCGTTACTCAGAGACAGGATTATTACAAGGCACAGATCTTGGGAAGGTTACAAGAAAATTTCTGCTGCACTGAAAGTTTCCAAAAGCACAGTGGCCTCCATAATTCTCAAATAGAAGAAGTATGGCACAACCAGGACCCTTCCAAGAGCTGGTCGCCCAGCCAAACTGAGCAATTGGGGTGAAGGGCCTTAGTAAGATAGACGACCAAGAACCTGATGATCACTGACTGAGCTCCAGAGATCCTGTGTGGAGAGGGAACAAAGTTCCAGAAGGACAACCATCACTGCAGCCCTCCACTGATCTGGGCTTTATGGCAGTGTGGCTAGACGGAAGCCTCTCCTCAGTGCAAAACACATGAAAGCACGCTTGGAGTTTGCAAAAAAAGCACCTAAAGGACTCTCATACTGTGAGGAACAAGATTCTCTGGTCTGATGAAACCAAGATTGAACTGTTTGGCCTCAATTCTTAACATTATGTCGGGAGGAAACCAGGCACCGCTCATAACTTGCCCAATACATCCCAACAGTGAAGCATGGTGGTTGCTGCATCATGCTGTAGGGGTGTTTTTCAGCAGCAGGGATTGGGAGATTTGTAAGGGTTGAGAGAAAGCTGGATGGAGCAAAGTACAGAGATATCCTCATTGAAAACCTGTTCCACAGCGCTCAGGACCTCAGACTGGGCTTAAGGTTCACCTTTCAACATGACAACAATCCTAAGCACACAGCCAAAACCACAAAGGAGTGGCTTAGGGACAACTGTGTGAATATTCTCATAGTTGTCCAGCACCCTATTGAACCTCTTTGGAGAGATCTGAAAATTGCTGACCATAGACGGTCCCCATCCAACCTGACTGAACTTGAGAGGATTTGCAAAGAAGAATGGCAGAAAATTCTCCAATCCAGGTGTGCACAGCTTGTTACGTCATACTCAAAAAGACTTGAGGCTGTAATCGCTGCCAAAGCTGCTTCAACAAAGTTCTGAGTAAAGGATTTGAATACTTAAAGTGTAACTACCCTGCATTTGAGCAGCACAAACAAAAAATATTATTTGATTAATTTTTAATATTCAAAGCAAACTTCTCCATCTATTCATGTTTCCATGCTTTATTTTGCTAAGAAATCACTTTGAAAAACACCTCTCTAGCATTTCTGGCTGCAGCCATCATGAGTAAGGGCAGATGAATTTACTTCCTGGAATCTGGAAGCCATCTGCCCTTAGCTCAGGCATGCAGGCAGGAGGGTGTGCTTAGCTGAGAAAGCCCTTCCTGGGATGCGTGACATCATTTGCCTAGGCATGGAAACCAGGAAATAACTGAAGAAGTGTAAAAAAATATTTTAAGACAAGTAAATGTAATATACTGTCCTATCTGTTTACTAATATCAGCAGCATGAGGAATACAAAAAGTAAATATTGATTGAGAGAGTGAAGTTCCTTTTTAAGTACATGTGATTTTGCAGTTTTTTCTTTTTAATAAATTCACAGACATTTCTATAATTCGGTTTTAACTGTCATTATGGGGTACTGAGTGTAGATTAATGATAAAATATTAATTTCAACAACTGTAGTATCAGGCTGCAACATACCAAAATAGAAACAATTGAAGGGAGTCTGAATATTTTATGAATGCACTGTATTGTTATGTAAAGTGTATTCAATGTTCTACCAAATAATAAATAAGGCCACAATAAGATGAACTGCAAAATGGCTAAATGGTTAGCACTTCCGCCTGGCAGTACTAGGGTCGTTGGTTCGAATCCCAGCCATGGCACCTCCTGCCTGGAGTTTGGATGTTCTCCCTGTGCCTGCGTGGGTTTCCTCTGGTTTCCTTCCACACTCCAAAGACATGCTGGTAGGTTAATTGGATCCTGTCTAAATTGGCTCTTGTATATGAATGTGAGTTAGGGACCTTAGATTGTACCCCCCTTGAGGGTTAGGGACTGATGTGAATGTGCAATATATATGTAATGCGCTGCGTAAATTGACGGCGCTGTATAAGTACCTGTAATAAATTAAATAAATAAAAAGAAGTGTGCAATGCAAAATACTGTATGGCCAATAAATTTGTTGATCGTACTGCTATATTGACAAATAGTTTTTAAACGGATAAATATTAAAATGGTACTGACATCCAATTACTCATTTACCCCAGGGGACTTAGTGTGTTTAAGATATAGATCCAATACATTTCTTTCTATTGCAAACAAAGACAGACCTGCTAATCTTTTCATATGCTTGAGAGTGAAATGATGGTGACCACTATGGTTCAGAAAGCTTTGTAAGATAGTTAGGTGATGTTCTCCAAAGCAACATCGGAGCTATCTAATAATCCTACAAGACCACTGCCAAGGGCAGTAAACCCATACATCACATGACAAATTGCATGATTGGATAAGTTTTGCCAGCACCATCATGGAAAGTTGTTTGACCATGGGTGATGTAGGAAAAGGTCTTGCAATTCAATTCAACTTCCAATATTGGAAAACTCCTTTTTTTTAAAAGGTTGTCTTGGTTTTCCTTGGTTTCTTGGTTTTCCTCATCTTACATGGCTTAATATTGTTTACAATGCTGGGTGTTATTTTAAAGATAATTTTAGATTTTGATGAGGGTTTTTTAGTTCTAGTTTTTTTTTAAAATGAATTTTGCATAATGTGCAACAATGCACTAAAGAATAAAAACACACAGACTCACAACCTAGAGAGGGGCGGAGTCCACAATTAGAAATCACAGAAGACCAAAAATTTGTACAGAGATCACAGTAAGAGTAAGTGCATGGCTTGAGCAGAGGATGTACTGGTGAGTTGACAAGGTTAATTACCGAACAGGGGAGAATTTCAGAAAACGAACCAGAGCGAGGTAAAGCTAAATCTTAAGTATCTATTAATGTAGCTGTAGTGGAGTTGTCAACCCAGCATGACCAGACTTTTTTAAATTACTTTGGGCAACCACTAATACGATATGTAGCTTGATACAGAGGCAGGTTAGTGTTCACAAGATGCATCCAGAACTGGAAAGAAGGGGTAGAAGGCTTTTTCCAGCACATGGTTACTGTTTTCCTGGCATAGAGAGCCATTAGGAAAAATTTAAATACCTTAAAAACAAGATCCAAAGCTAGACTTTCTTAGACTAGAGGTGCTTTGTGTTACTGGTGATAAAATGTATTCTTATTGAGTTAGACTTGGGCATTTTATGTAGAAGGAACTGGAATGTTGCGAAATGTCTGAGAGGCATCCTTAGTAGTTTCTTCCATAGTTTAGAACATCCGTGAAAATGGATTAGATTTCCAAATTTTAAGGTCTTCCAAATAGCTCCTTGCCAGATTAGCATAGCTCGAGGCAGTTTTTTCTCCCATAGTGGTACCTTGGCTTTAAAGAATTGGTCCAAAAATTTGAAATGTGTGCCAGAGTAAACAGTCAATAAATGCGGTGTCTGCTTTGAGTTGATACCTGTTTGATAAGGTGGTATATTAACGATGTAAGACCTACTTGATCTGGAACAAATGTTTATATTGAACGCACAGCTAAAAAGAAACACATGAAAGTGGCTTCGCTAGTTCCTAAAAACCAGTAGAATTTGGTTGGAATTCTTGATTCAGGAGGATAGTGATATAATTAGTGGTCACAGAAAGAAATGTATGTATTGCGAGATCATTTGTCAGACTGTCCATGCAAGCAATTATTGGTCAACCTAGGGGTGATTTGATCTTCTAGATGTATTAATTCAGATTTTAATTTACGTAAGGGGTCTTTCTTAAGAGGCTGGTATGTGTTTTATCTGATAATAGCTGTTGAGCTTTTCTTGCATATAATACATTTTTGTCCTGAATAAAATTATTAATGTGCTGTGTATTACATCACTGCTTTTGCTCTGGCTTGTTGAATTAATCCTTTTGACTCCATACCAAAAATGAAAAACTGGAGACAGTTTATGGCAAAAAGATAAGTAGTGGCTTCCAAATCTCATTTAGGTTTCTGTTGTATGATAGAAAATTAAGTCAACTAATTTATAGGTTACAGAGGTACCATAGAAGTTAGTTAGACCTATCAGCAGCACCTATATTTCTATTAATGGTTCTATATGATATGTTTTTATGATACCATGCTTAATTTTACATTTTATTTTTCAGCTAAGCAGTACAATTCTGTACATAAAAATTTTATAAATGGTAATTATCTTTCTGCAGACAAAGAAATATTGACTCATGAAGGCTACTTTGTCCCAGATGAGAAGGGATACCCTTGTACCAACACAGTGTCTCGAGCAGATGTAGCAAGATTCATGCTCTCCACCCTTAATGATGAAACGTGGAGCAGAAAAATAGTTGCAATGTGCTGTAAATAATGTGAAGGTATTCATGGTGAAAACAATGGTGAAAATTAAGGAAAACCCAAATTTAGCTAAACCTAGAATTTGGGTGAATGCTAACTTGTTAAGTCTCATGGTGGAGGCTCACATTACTTTGAGCTCAATGATAGTACTTCTCCATTCTAGAGAATTGTCTGTGGATAACATGGCCCTTAATCCTTAGTAGGTCTCTAAGAGTTTACAGAGAAAATATCACAAAAACTAACTTCAACAGATCAGCATATAATCAAAGTAATTCATTTTTTTTTCATAAGTGGTTATTTACATTTTCCCCACATTTATGTGCAGACCAAGTGAAAAGAATTTGCACAAACAATAAGACTGACAGTGGTAAATATAAGGGCAGCTTCTATAATCATGATTTGAAAAAACCCTTGTGCTGCAACTTGCTCAAGTACCCCCGGCAATGTGATAATTGACCTCAACTGCTATTGCTAGAAAAAACAGTTATGTGAAATTAAAAAGAATTAGTATAAGGAACAAACCACTTGCCGACTGCCCTACAGCAGGGCAGCCGCTCTGTTCAGAATCACGTGTCTGTGTGTATATATGTATATGTGTGTGTGTGTGTATGTGTGATGTGTGATATATATGTGTGTGTGCGTGTGTGATTCCGCATTTCTGGGTAGGGGGCGTGCACAAAGGAGAGTAAATCTTCGGGAGGACAAGTGGTTAACTTGATAAAGTTCTCTAAATGCAATATTTTTTTTTTTTTTTTAATTTCATTTGGACAAATAAAGGTTAATAACATTGTTTCCAATTTTGTCCGGTTAGGAAGATTTTCCCTTAAAGTGTTACTAAACCCCGCACCCTGCATTCACTATATCTGATCTCCCACAGTACACAGAACATGGAAATGCAATTATTTTTGTAAATATAAACTGGTAAATACCTTTTCTCATCAGAAGTTAGAGCAGTCTTGTGTCTTCCGCAGAGCACTGGTTAAAGCTTGTAGGAGAAGTTTTCTTTCTGCTCTAGGAGGATGTAGAACCCCTGACCTCTGGCTGGACAGTGCTGATTGGCCCTGTGCTGATCATGTGCACTCTCCCAAGAAAAAAAAAAAAACCTCTCTAGCAATACACACTAAACTGAGCATGTGCAGAAGAGCTATGGGTTCAGTCTGTCTTATCAGGGAGGATATTTGAACAAGAGAGGGGCAGAGAAGTCAGAATCAAACAGCCTTTTTACACAATGCAGAGGATTAACCCCTTAGGTTCCACAGTGAGTATAGCATGCAAGCTTTACTGCATATACAGACTGATTTTACTGTTGTGGGTTTAGTAACATTCTGTGCTACAGACACAACAGGAAACAAGAGGATATATTTCCAATGTGAAGGAAATGTCTTCTTAGACAGTAGTCCCCAACAACAAGCGCCCCCACTGGAAGATTTTCCCTCCCATTCCTGTTCTATTGACAACACAAAATTTTGGATTTACCTTTTACTTTCATCCTCAGTAAAATTGGTGCAAGGCAATTAGAGAAGGTGAATTTCCTGAACAGAAACACTGACAGCAATCAAAGCTTAAGCATAAATAGATTAACAGAAATAAATACAGTATGTATGCTGACAATTTAAGACAGTTTTTGGATTTAACAACAATCTTCCTCATTGTATTTAAATGTGTAGAGGGTATATCAAAGTGTAAAATAGATACTAAGGAAATCTTTCCTTTTACTAGCAATTTTTATAATAAATTTTCATGTTGAATACAAAATAAACTATAAATCCTGCATATGACTCAGTGTGGTAATTTCAATGGCACAGGGCTGTCACCGAAAGAAAAAATGTTTTGCTGTACAACAACTGGCAGGTGCCAGCTTCCTAACAACCAGGAGACCTGAGCTGGAAGCTGTCACTTTAGCAGTGGTAGTAATACAGCTGCTAAATGGTTCACTCTGCAGCTGAAGGTTCATTTGGCTAAACATCCATTTGTCCAACCATTTGCATAAGACTCTCCATAGACTGTACAGAGTGCTGAGGCTTACCTCATATTTCCTCTGTTGGTTGAATGTTCTTAGCCTAAAGTGTTAGGCTATTTTCTCTATTGATGAATGCTCTTTAAATCTCATTTTGAATGTTTTTACTTTTCTCTTAGGATTGAATGTTAGGGAATGCTTTGCCTAGCAAAATGCAACAAAGAAATTATGGGACACACATTACAAACTTTATGGGTATTATTTGTTATGTCTGCTGGAATGATGAGACCTTTTGCAAAGCAAATTTTATATTAAAACTACCCCAAAGTGTTGCTGACATGTATCGTGATTACTAAAGATTTAGCCTTACAACACTGTGTGATTGACAATTGTACTTTCGAGTAATGAGCATGATTTACATAAATGCGTGGTAGAATCGAGCACAAAGACATCATAAAAGATTGGGCATATACTGAGCATAAAACAAACCTGGTGCAATATAAAATTGCAAGAAGGAGGTGTGAGGCTGAGTGATAGAGGGGGTATTTATTAATCAATCCAATCCACTTCTATAGTCATTAAGATTACAGGGAACATCCCATGGCATCCCACATGAGTGAGCGCTGTACCACACATGCTAGACTGAATTCAACTATGAGGAAGCATGGCCTGTAGTATCTGTACTAAAAAGAAATATGTACACATATGCATACACGATATGTTAACCACTTGCTGATCGCGCTATAGCCGAATGATGGCTACAGTGCGGTCGTCCAGTTCTGGGAGGGTGTATTTATGTCCTCCCAAAATCTCACCTGCTGCACTGTGCACCCAGTGCGCTCTGTGATCTGTGTCCGAAGGGAGACGATACTTTTACAATAATAAAAAAACAAGAGTATTATGAGGGTCCTGCTCATAAGAGCTTACAATCTAATAGGGTGGATATGGGGTTACTTTAGATTAACATGAGGTGGTTATATTGCAGCTGCCTTAATGCTTAACAGAGTCTATATGGATGGGATTACAGGAGAACTTTTTCTATAAAAATGAAAACTAAAGGTCTTATAGTAACTTGATGTGCGGTCCATGATGTGAGTGTAATAAATTAAATTACAGACCCATCTCACCAAGCCCACACACACTGTTAGGATAGATGGCACCTGTAGCTGGTTGTTTTATAGTTTGTTTGTTTTTTTTATCTGACTGATGATTTTTTCTGTTCTTCATATACAGATTGTTGGCACTTTTTGTTTTTTATTTATTTTTATCTTTAAATCCAAAGCAGAATGTGTGGACTGTGGAATGAGGTGTCCCTTTTCCTTGAAAGTGCAGTGGTAAGCTGAAGAAAACTAGATTTACGGACATCTCTGTATGACCGCACAGTATAGTTATATTATGTATGTTGTGACTTTGAAAAAATATGTAAGATGGAAACCAAGGACTTTTATTATTTAACTAAAACTAACAAGAAGAACAAACAAAGAGAAATTATAATATTGCCAAGAAAAGGTTGTCCTTTTAGAACATGACACTGGATTTTTTACACAAAGAGCATGATAGGAAAAAACAAGCCATTGAGATATATTTCATCCAATGATGATGGGTTCACCCAGTAATGACGAGTTCACCTGGCTATATAGGCGCATAGCCTCCAATCTCAAGGTTTAGGCAGAAAGTTGTAGATAAGACTATTGCCTTTCTCTCAATGCCTCAGAGATCCATAATGGAATTATAATCAGCCTCCAACCTCAAGGGCGAGCAAAGATCACTTTCCATAAGAATTTGGTAATTTGTGCAGAGGAAAAAAAAATATATATAGTGTAATACTGTAAGACTCAGGATAAATTCAAATACCAAACCACTCACATCTTAAAAGAATGTAATCAGCATTTATCTATTGTATCTGGAGCCAAACTGCCACATAGCCAGATCTTACAGTCAGCGATAGATGACAGCATGTAAAGACATAGGTGATTTATCCCTCAAGCAAGATGGCCCCTGAGAGCGCTGCACACTGGCGTGCACTCCACTCACCGGAAGTGACATGGTACATTGGACGTCAATGCGCTTCACCCCTTCTCCAGGGCGTTTTGTTTACTAACAGTCCTCCCTCCTTGCTTTTTTTCGGGCAATTTGTTTCTTTCTGGATGGCTGTGCACAGCACAGGCATCCAGAGCAGTGTTTTTTTTTACAGTGAAGCACCAAACACACTGCCCCCTAGTAAAACATTTTGTATACACAGTTACTCTTAGGCCAAAATTGTTTATTTCTGCGACATGTCTTTGCTAAAAAAAAAAAATCGCAATTTATTGTTTAATTTTATTGGTTTACCGTGAAAGTTATTTTTTTTCTAAATCCTCCGTTGTTTTTTGATACTGTTTTTTTTTTTTTTTTGTTTTAATTTTTGGTGTTTTTTCAGGTTTTAGGTTGGGGTTGTTCGGATTTTGGTGTACTGGGGGTATTTTTGGTGTTTGTTTCTTTGGTTGTTTTATTTTTATTTGCACTGGGCTTGGAAGTTGTTTTAACATACTTGGGGGCGTTAAAGTGGAACTTACATTGTTTTTGTTTTTTGGTATGTAAAATTTACCATTGTAAATTACACTGTTTTTCTATGGTTTGCTATGCAAAAGTGTTCTTTGCAAATGATCGCCGCCACCGTTTTTGAAGCTGATAGGGGCCTTTAGATCTGTGTTTTTTTGTTTTTTTTTTATTTAATTTTGCATATTATAGGTTCTTTGTGTAGCGGAATTTTTACGAAGACCTTCGCGATTCGTGTTATGACAACTTGATTTGTGGGATATCCCTGGTGGGGCTGTTAGTTACTGGCCCCTACCTGGAATGCGTTAATTTTTTTTATTTTTGGTTTTTAAAATGCAGCCGTGCTGAGTTTTGCGCAGTTATTTGTTGATGTTATTAGGGATCTGATTTTAATGGGATTTTCTTACATATTTTTTGGCCATTTTATTGCCCCCACTTAGATTAGTTTTTTATCCAGCGCCATTTGTTTCTTTTCATTATTAATTTGATTTTATCTTTTTTATTGTTTTTGTTTTAGT